TCGCGAAGAAAGTGTTTGAAGTGAAGGTACTTGGTTTGTTACATGTTGTTCGATGAAGCTGTTGATCACGTGATGGGCATTTTTGTTCTTACCCTTATCATCCAATGCTAAACCATTGTAACCATTTTGTTTTGGGTGGTCTTCAACACACTGCATCCCGTGGTGTTCCATCGCACCAACAATTAAGTATGCATGAAGGAGTTAATCGAGGAATTCTATCACCACATGTATAAAAATTATTGTGCGGGTCTTCAGACACTTTGCGCTCATCAATAGCATTCCTTGCAGCATAAAGTGTACCTTTATCACGTGACGATTCTTTGCTGTAAAGATGGTACTGGATAACGTATAAACTATTATTTGAATGGTTAACAAATATATATTTAAATTCATATTGAATGAAACCTGAGGGCTCAAGTACATGTAGTCCATGTATAATTGTCTCAGAATTTTATAATAGGATATGTAAGATTGTTTTTATTTTGGTTACTTAATCTCTGAATTATAGGGTGGCACATTGTTGCTGATCTAAAAGAAAACGTGATATTTCAAAAAAAAACTATAAATCATTCAATGTCCAATCATTCATTCCATAAAGCAGTCTAGTGAGCTAGGGTTGGATAAAGTCTGTGCTCATGGAGGGTAAAGGGTAGGGTCTCTTTTCTTGTGGCAAGAGAAGATATTTTTTATTTCTTCTTAGGAAAATTATATGAACATGAGATGGCACTCCAAATAAAAATGATAAATATATACATACTTCGCGTTGGAAATAAAAATCTTCAAATTTGGGAATGGAACCTTCCAGGCGTGCTGATGCATGGGTTTGTGCATCCTGCATAGCAAATTGTGCTTCTTTGTGGCGTTCGAAAGTGAGATAATATCCACCACTCAACACTTTACTTGGCTTCGAATCAGACTCAGAATGTCCAGGAACTGCCACTAGAGGATATCAATCATATCGTCCTCATTCTGCTCTGAACAGTCAGTTGATTAAAGCCAAATTTTTAAACTGACTGCGGGGACATAAAATTTGATGTTTATATATTAAATATGGTACTCATACATAATAATTTTTGGGAAAAAGGGGTGGGGGTAATTTTTATTTCGTCCGAGACATATATAACAATGTAGTATTCATTAAACAATGCATGGCCAAAAAGAAATTTGTCTCAGAATAAATTACCCAGTTTTCGGTTATTCTCCTCCAATTTATCATGCTGTATGTGATAAGGTAAAAAGTCTTTATACCAGAATTGCGCGAATGGAGGGTTCACACACCTGCCACATGGATTGAGAGGCAATGGACAATACAAGATATTACTGGCGAACGACAACCAGATAGCAACAATAACGGAAAAGGACATAATCGAAATACAAGTTTTGAACAAATCGATATGGAGAACAACCCTTTAAACTGCACATCCATACACGCGGACATTTTGAATGTAATCGTGAGCGAATGCAATTTGAAGGAGATCCCACGCGAAAGGCTGCGACGAGCCCACAATTGGAAAAGTAAAGGAAATTTAACATGATTGATTGTCGCGTACGGAGCGTGTGCGTTCATATTAGCTTGTAAAATGCGACATAGACACCGCGTAATCCGCGCCATACCGATGGAAGTGAGTACGCTGAGGCAAACCGAAGACGAAGACGATGAAATAGTTCTGTTTTAACTCAAGGGAAAACAATGTTGATTTATTTCAGTTAGCGTATTTACAACATTTCATTCACTAGGTTTATATATATATATATATATATATATATATATATATATATATATATATATATATATATATATATATATATATATATATATATATATATATATATATATATATATATATATATATATATATATATATATATATATATATATATTAATATATATATATATATATATATATATATATATATATATATATATATATATATATATATATATATATATATATATATATATATATATATATAGATTTAAGTGTTCCGTTCGGGTTAATATAACAATGTTTTAATAGCTTAATTATAGTCTCCTAATAGTCTATCAGTGACAGTTTCTCCATAGCGTTCGTTAGTGAGGAAATTAGCAATTCCCGAATGTATTCAGCGTAGGCATCGTGTGGAAGTAGTAATATAGGTACCGTTCGGGCCCCTTTTTTTGGGCCGAGGAGGGGCGGAGGAGGGCCGGATTTTTGGGGCGGAGGAAGGGTGACGGGGGGCCGATTGATCTGGATTTTTGGGGCGGAGAAAGGGCAGCGCATCATTAAAAATTCAGCACGGGGTATCATCATCAGCATACGTCATAATTATATGCAATGACGTCACGCGGGCAAGTTTTGGCGAGTGATGACGTCACGCGGGTCTGTTCGGACAAAACTTGCTGACTAAGCATTGTTTAGCGTTCCCCCACGTGTGTGATACAATAGAGGGACTACTATTGGCTTGCTATGAATAGTTCGAGTCCCTCACAAGGCAAAATTGTTATCGAAATTAATATATAGCAGAGTTATAGCCGTATCTTTGCTCGGAAGAGATAAATTTCCACGAGTTGTTTACAAAATTTTAGCGAGAAATCTATTCGTCACAAAAATCAATTTTTAACCGAGCTAAACAGTTGCTAATCCCGGGTTGTCAACGTTGTTAGTAAGGTCAATATTATTAATATATAGCTGAGTTATAGCCGTATGTTTGCTCGGAAGATGTAAATTTCCTAATGTATATTAAAGGATTTTTCGTATGTTTACAAAATTATAGCGAGGAATCTATTCGACACAAAAATCAAGACATATTTTAAACAGAACTAAACAGTTGCTAATCCCGGGTTGTCAACCTCGTTTTGTGAAAAGCAATATTTGCATGTTTTTCAACATTATTTAGCAAATCATCAACATACATATATATACTTTTAAGATGACCGAGTCAGATCATAAGTAAGCTTATCAAGAATATAAGTTAGAATTGGAAGATGTTTCCAGAACGTATAGAACAGTTTAAAGTTATTTTTCAGGAGTCAAAGTGCCAACAAGTTCGGCACGTTCAAATTTGTGTAATATTTTGAATATCAAGCTGTAACCCAGGACGTTTTTGCTGTTAGTGGATGTAAAATACTTAGAATTATCCAGCAAACCAGGTTTGAATCTTTAAAGTTAAAGCCCTTTGATAAAAAAGTACTTTTTCTTGCTGATTTTCACTCAAAAACAAACTTTTCACTGAATTTCTCACTCGTCGAAACTCTCCCTAGTCCTTTTGAAAGTTAACTTCTAATAATAATAATGACTGTATTTAAACTAGAGAAAAAAGACCGATCAGCATATTTACAAGAAATAGCTGGTATTAACCGGTGACCAGCATCGTAAAGGATTTCTATTGTAAAAAAAAACACATTATTTTACACTACATTACTATTTTACACTACATATATGTTCTTTTTTGTCCATATTTAATAAATACTTTTAAATAAAGGACATCGGCAATGCATTTTTTTATTGCCTTGTTTTGTTCTCTATAATTGTCTTAGTCAAGATATATGTTTCATTTGCGATGAAAATATCTCAATTTGTTGTAAAGAGCGAATGAATTTGGTCTAATTATTCATATCGCCCGCCACTTTGAAAGCATATTTTGGAAAATTATCTTTCATATCATTTGAGGCCTCTGACGTCAGGGGAGAAGCAAAACAATACGCTGTCGCTACTATAGCTTTTGATCAGTTTTAACTTTTGTGAAGAATTTTCGACGGTTCTAGGCTTTCTATGGACGAAATCCACGAGATTCAGTTACGTGAAGTGTTACCTTATGAGTTTGAACCTGTTTTAAACGAAAATGCTGGTAGCAGTGGGGCAGAAGCGATTCCGAGAGCGAGTCGTCCTCAAAGGCTCAGACGACGACTTGAGACTTCGATGAAGCATTCGAGGCTGAGAATATCTGGCGTCTTAAATCGCGCAGTTGGTGCAAGTGTGGCCACTGTCCCATGCAAACAAAGACAATAGGAAGTTTTTGCTCGCAAGAAAAGGCTTTAGAGTACGATGAGTACGACCCTTTAGTCACAAATGCTGAAGGAAGCGTTCAATGTTGGTTTAGTTAGCTGTGGGTTAGTTATGGTATTTATAGTTCTACTTCGGTTGGTCAAAATTTTCTAATGATGTCGTTTGTAGTGGAGAAGGTAGTTCTTCGATGACTAACGTATATTCGGCCTCTAAAGTTGTTAGAGCTACATTTACAGTACTATTCAGGTCAGGCGATTTGTTCTAGTGATTTATTATGCGTCGTTGCTTCCGCTTCTACACTTAAGTTTGCAGTATCAAATAACTGTCTAAACCACGATGATTCTGTTGTTATGAATGTCTGTGTTTTGAATGTGTGTGATTTACTTGTGTGTTTCAGCGAGGTCTGACTTCTGAGTGTATTTTGATCCTAACTGTGGAGCGTAAATCAACTAAATGTCTTCGCTATTAATAAAGGAGAGATCTGAACTGGCTATGATTTCTTCCTCGCAAACTGCGTCTGAGTCTATTCGAACGTCTGCTTTTATACCGCTTACATTACTCGCAAGTCGCAACCGACAAATTTTCATCATGTGTTGATGAAAGTGACTTCAACCACTCTTCAAGATTCTAAATTGTGAAACAATGAAGAAAAATAAGGACATTGAAGAAGCAGAATTTATTAAAGCTATTGGCGTTGTCTCCTGAGTCTCCTCTCGGTTTGTCTCCTTGTTCTCTTCGATTGTGACGATGCAGATACGTTAGAAACGCTAGCGCTGGCCGTAGGCTTGTCAAGCGTTGGTAAACATTGGACTTTACGCGCAAAATCGTTTTCTCTGTGTATCCAATGCTTTCGAGGAATTGAGGAGAATGCGAGGGTTCATATGACTCCTCGGCAAAATGAAGCGAGCAAATTCTTATACAAAGTGAGGGCTTGAATGATTTTCGTTTGCAAAATTCTTCCCAGGCTGCTCTACGGCTCTTCTGCTCAGGCATTTTGCCGCAAGGAAAAGGAAAGAAATTAACTTTTCTATTTGTCCTCAGTTGACTATCACTATTGCAGCCGTACACAGGGCAATATACATTGCTTAACTTTGACCTTCATGGTTTAATACGTATTACATGAATGTAATAGTCTGTAGAAAAATATAGATTATAACATAGTCCGTTTATGTTTTGCGTTTTATATGTTTTTTAGAAAACGAAAGCATCATTTCTTACCTACCCTCGCCCAGAAAAAATGGACAAAAAATGAATTGGTTTACAACGTGATTTTTAAAAAATTAAACTTATGTCAACTGTATGTTGCATTGACGCAAGATGTTCAGCGCGCCTACACAAAGACGTAAATACTCGTCGCATATCTTCCGCAAGGCGAACGAACGCTTATTATGGAAATTTATAGAAATAAACTAGGTTGCTATGTCATTTTTTATGCAATTTCTTCAAATAACGTAGAAAAAACAGCATGTAAACTATAGCTATTTAGAAGGGCCGTATACATTGTATAATCCGTTCCCTTACCAATGACGTCAGTAAGGCATTTCAGCATAAATTAGCATATCGGGAATTTTTCAAGATGGCGGACACCATGCATAACTAGACCAACTTCATTCGCTTTTTACTCCGAATCGAATAATTTTCATTCCAAATAAAATACATATCCTTATTAAGATGACCAACGTGAACAAAAATAGCCAATAAAAAAATCCGTTGCCGATGTCCTTTAAATACTTTAGTTTTAAAGTTTGATAAAGATTGTACTCTACGCAGTTCTTGAGGTAGCTCATTCCAATAACAATTAACAATTAGTTTTATATACCCACAAATAATATTTACAAGTTGAATATTTAAGAATATTTAAACGGGCTAGAGACCTCTGGAAATCCTGTTGGACTTTTAAGACGAGGCCCCTATGGTTTTAGTGTTCAGTAATATAAAAATAGATTATGTACATAAGGACAACTTGCAATGAAAAACACAAACTATTTACAAACAAATATGGAAAATGTTTAAGGAATACTTAGTACATTACAGAATACTGTCATTAATATTCCTAAAATATTTACTTCAACTAAACATCAAATAATAGGATTTTTCAGTTTTCTTAAAAGAAAAATGTGATTTAATATTTTTAATTTCTTCATCAAGGCAATTCCATATAGAGACTCCTTTGTTAAATACAGTGTATTTGTAATAGTTTGTTCTCTTATAGCTCACATGTAACTTGGTAGAATGTCGAGTATTATAGTTGTATAGTTCGTTACTTTGTTTGAAGTAATTATTATAGAAATCCGGAAATTTTGACAATAATTGAAGCGATGCATGAATAAGCTGCATAGATAATCATTAATTGTGTGGATATCCAAGATTTTTAATTGTAAAAATATTGGTTCAGAATGATCCATATTAGATTTAAAACAAATTAGTCGCACAATTTTCTTTTGCACATTTAGTAATGTTTGTAACCTTGTTGGGGATGTACTTCTCCCAACTAGATTTCCGCACGTGAGGTATGGATAGACCGATGCATAATAAATCAATTTCGAAGTTTTTTTGTTCGTAAAATGTCTTAGTTTAGCAATGAGACCCGCAGATTTAATTATGTTTTTCAGAACGGAGTTGATGTGGTTCTTCCATGTCAACTCTTGATCAATTAATACACCTAGGAATTTTACCCAAGGTACTTGTTCAACTATATCATTATTTATTTTTACTATTATTTCTTGATGCTGTGACTTATTTTTTTATTTAAAAATGACAAATTTTGTTTTCGATGCATTGATTGATAATTTATTGGCGTTAAGCCATTGCACTACTTCATTCATTTCATTTTGTATAGTACTAGCTAAAGTTTTTAGGCACGAATTTGAATAAAAGGCATTTGTATCATCAGCATATAAGACAAAAGAAAGAATTTTACTGCAGTTTTCAAAGTCATTACTGTATATTAGACATAGTAGTGGTCCAAGAATTGAACCATGTGGGACGCCAGTAGTTCTAACACTCATTTCAGTTGACCTATGTTGTTTATATTTGACCATTTGAGTTCTTTCCTGTAAATAATTTATAAACCATTGTAGACCTATACCTCTAATTCCATAGTGTTGAAGTTTTTTATGAGAATTTCGTGATTGACAGTGTCGAAGGCTTTAGAGAGATCAAGGAAAATACCTACAGTATATTTACCTTCATCTATTGCTTTGGATATCTTATCGGTTAGTTCAAGAACGGTATGCTCAGTTGATCTATTTTCTCTAAAACCAAATTGATGTTCTGTAAGTATACGATCTTTTTCAACATAGTTAATTAATCGCTTGTGCATAAGTTTTTCAAGTAGTGTTGAAAAACAAGTTAATACCGATATAAGTCGATAGTTTTCAAATAGATTATTTTCCTTAGTTTTGAGAGTAGGAGTAACTAAAGCTTTTTTCAAAAATTTTGGTATTTTTCCAGTTTCAAATGGTAGGTTATAGATATATGTTAGAGGTTTAGTTATTTCTTCACTCATGATCTTTATCATTTTCGCGCTTATGTCATCATGTCCTGCACTTTTAGTTTCACTTAAGTTATTAATCTCATACACAGGTTCTATAAACATACTTTCAACATAGTTACCATTAATTAAGGTAGCTTTCATACGTTATGTTTTCATTTTTGTGAATTTGTTTTGGCTAGTTGTGGACAAATTTTCATAAAATATTCGTTAAATTTGTTTGGAAATTTCTAGAGGATTTGAAACATTATTATTTGAATTCTTCTGTAAAAAAGTATCGGGTAGTTTTTATCTAGTTCTTTTTTCTGCTAAGAACTTCGAAAATAGTTTGCAATGTCTTTTTAATGTCATTTATATACCTAAGAAATTGTGTTTCATAGTTGGCCTTTTTTGCGGTTTTTATTACGTGATTCAGTTTGTTTGTGTATTTTTTATTGGCTGTCTCATTTCTATAAGATGGCTTTTTTAGAAAAATATTATAAAGTTTATTTTTCTTGGATATAGATTTAAATATACCAATTGTCATCCATGGACTTTTTGTGAGATCCACAGTTTTCTTTTTTATTCTTGCTAAAGGAAAATATTTATCAATTGCTACCTTCAAATTATTGTGAAAATTCGTATAGGATTCACAAGGGTCATTGGTTTCGAAAGTCCTTTCCACGATATATTTTTCACAAATAATAAAAACGAAGCAAACTATCTTTGTCGACCATTCTTCTATAATGTGCATTTCCTCTTTTTGTATTATTTTTGTATCTATTTGTGGACGAAAAAGCTATATGAAATATGGGGAGATGATCTGAAATATCTGAGAAAATTAGTGCATTAACACCAGATTCTATTTGTTCAAGATTGTTTGTAAAGATATTACCAATTAACGTGGCTGTATGCTGCGTAATTCTAGTTGGTATATTTTTGAGCGGATAAAAAGATGAAGTATAAGGTTGCTCATAAAATCTATTGGATAATCGCAATCATCAGATTTCAAAAAATCAATGTTAAAATCCCCTGTCAGATATGTTATTTTCCCTGTTTTGTCAACTTCGATTAGTATTGCATTTAGTTTATTTTCAAACATTTCGAAATTACCATTTGGCGGTCTGTAGATAGTACCAACAATTATATTTTTACCAGTTGTTGAAATAATTTCAATGAAAAGTAATTCAACTATGACGTCTTCGTTTATATTTAGTTCAGTTCGTAGTTTGTAGTTTAAATTATTTGAGATAAAAATTCCTACTCCACCGCCTTTTTTATTAACTCTGTTTGAGGAAACAAAATCAAAATTAGTAAGATGGAAATTTTCACTGTTTTGTTCATTTAGCCAAGTTTCAATTAGGCTAATTATAGAAAAAGGTTGTTTCAAAGTACTTAGAAGATTCCTAAACGAGTCAAACGTATTAGCTATACTTCTTATATTAAGGTTTAGTATCGATAGATTTTTGTTATCAGTAATATTACTCATAGCAAAGTCGTTTGGTAAGTAATAATTGCATGTCAAATCATCAAGATTTTCCGGCATATAATTCTCAAAATGTTGAGCGTTTGCAAAGTTATTATTATTAATGTGAAAAGGATTAAACTTGAGTTGCGTTAATCTGTCCAAAAACTCATCATTTGGAACTCGACTGAAATCGCCAAAAATAAAATGGAATTCTAAATCATCAATTTCCGTTTGTTCACATGTGACAGGTGATTTCATGCATGCGGTGCGAGCATGAAACCATCCCCCGCATGCCAGACAATAAATGCTTTTTTGATCCATACTTATTTTAAGGAAACAAGAAGAACTATATTTCTTACCTAATTTTAGAGCAGCCATAGCGTCTATTTATAGATCTTAAAATAGAAAAAGATGGTAATGTTAATTACGCGTTGAAGGTTTGAACTCAACATTTTTTATGTATAATTTATCCCGTACCATACGCACTCTGTGTCCTTGAGCTTTAGCCTTCTTTAACTCAGGGTAAAAGGTTTGGCAAATCTTCCCAATCTACCTCAAGAACTGCGTAGAGTACAAGAACTCCCTGAGCCTCGCGAGAAGCGCCATCTTGGCTTCGGGCAAGTATGGGCACGTTTACCTGCAGTTAGCGTTCCAGTGTTATTACAATTCACTGATGCGTGATTATCTCACTGATCTTAAAATAGGGTTGTTTGCCAGGAGTGAAGAGGCAAAAATATAAAAAAGTATGTAAGAAAGCTTGGAAAATCGTTTCACATAACAAATTGTAAAACGCTTTTCGATCTTTTAAACTAAACATCCAGAATTAATTTAGTATGAGAAATCCCAAAGCATAGGGCAAATTTGTTTAAATTGTTTATGTATGACTTTGACAATCTTAATATTGACTTGGCCTTAATTTGTTCTTGTTGTTCAAGTCTCTCGTAGTGTTGTATGCAAAAGTTTATGGGTTAAATTAACTTTGTAGAAGATCATGATAAAAAGGAAAAGAAATTATTTTCATTAGCGTTCTGTATGAATTAAATTTAATTCATTTCAAAGTGCGAGTAATAAGTCAAAAGCTCGAGTAGAAGAGTTTATCGGCAAAAAGCAATTAATTTCAATTCAAAATTAAAAATTAAACGTTTTACAAAGAGTTTCGTGTTGAATTTACATTAAAATAAAGACCATAGAAAGAAAAATGATATACTTTAATACCGTAACCCTCCGAATATAAGCCACCCCCAAATATAAGCCCCCCTCCCCGCCAAATATAAGCTCTTCCACCGTGTATAAGCCCACCACATATACTAACGCTCATCTTATTCCAAATATAAATCCCCCCCCGAATATAAGCCCACCCGAATCTACGCCCACTTGCTTATCACTATTTTTTAACACTATTACCACTATATATTAATCACTATTATTACTACGGTATGCTTGTTTAACACTTGTTTACTCTACTAGCTTGTTTATAACTATTACACTAACACAAAAGATCGTCCATGTATAAGCACCCCGTATATAAGCCCACCCTTGTATAAGCCCATAAAAAAATCGCTTGCGAAAGAATATAAGCCCAGGACTTATAGTTGGAGGTTTGCGGTACTTTATATATTTTAAAAATTGATAGTTCTGTATTTAAAAGTTTTCAAGTTTCATTCATTTTTTGCTGTTCCGTGCAAAAAAATTATAACAAAATAATTGTTGTGTTGCCACGACTAACATGATGACGTGGGCAACGCGAGCCTGCGTTCAATCAATGTTGACATAATTACAAATGCTTCATGTTGAAACAATGTTTGGAAAATATATATAGGCGAGGGGTTGTTGTATGCATGTATTTTCTAGTGATATCTCTATTTTTCTTCTGTTTCAGGACCGGCGTTTCACTATCTGATGGGAAATTTCACCATTTATGTGTCACATGGCAATCTTCCAATGGAAATTTCAACGTCTACGTGAATGGTACTGTCGCCTTTAGCACCACAGCTATGAATGGAAAAGTTCTTCCCGGAGGAGGATCTTGGGTGATTGGGCAGGATCAAGATTCAGTTGGTGGTGGTTTCGACGCAAACCAGGCATTCGGTGGTGAAATCAGTGAAGTTCATGTTTGGAACAGAGCTCTTTCTCCTGCTGAAATTGAAGTTCTCGCATCTTCTTGTGCTCAAGACTTGGTAGGCAACTACGTTGCTTACACTGATTTTAAGATTAGAGGAAACGTGCCCACATTTCAACATTGTTGCAAATGATCACGTAGAAGCGTGTACGATGGTTTTAAACTTTACTCCATGCAGATAATTAGTAGCAGAAGGAAGTATGCACGTATAGAAGAGTTTACGAAATTTTTAGTTGAGTCATGACGTTATGCTTGTGACTTAGTAAATCACTTGCAATATTTTAATTTGTAGACTAGTAGAGCAGAGATGTTTGGTGAAATTAACACTGTCATTATGGTTGGACATCTTGAACAAATTATGCAATGGCAAAATTACAATTCAATTTATAAATTGCACTGGAAAGCGAGAGAAACTTTTGCTAGTTTCTTATTCAATGTTCGCCAATTGAATGCTCCTTGGCAATGTCCATTACTTTCGCATATTTTCCTTTTAATATACTTCGATAGTTTGTGCTTTGTCAGACTGACACATACACATTTCAACACGAATGAAAACATAACCCCCTGAGAGGTAAGAAATCAATCCTTTCGAAACCAAAACAGCAATTTCGATGGCCTGCTGATCTTACTATTTATATGCCTTGTTAGCCTTGAACGATGCACATGTAACAACCCATTCGAACGCCTTAATATAACGTAGTTATAGGCTATATACCTATACTCACACAATAAAAAACAATATTCGAACTAGCACAGGGAAAATCGCTCCAAAAACTCCTGGAATCCCCCTCCCCTCCCAAATGGCTTCAAATTCTAATTGCAGCTTCGGCAATGTGTAACTCGTTTTCCATTCAATTGAATTTATCATTGTCATTGATGTTGTTGCATTTTAAGTCACAAATATATTAATTAAACTATGTAGAGTTTTTTTGGTTAAATAAATGAAGTTTTGTGGTTATTAGACACAGGTTCAAAATCGTTTTAGGATCACAATATGTGTGTGGCGATATAATCTCGTCGCTGATAATTGTAGCTTGGTATACAATAGACTCAACTAAACACTTTCTGGACATATAGGGCATTCTAAGAAGAGACTTAGAATGTCCTATGTTTAAAAGTGTTTGGCTATGTTTATTATGTATCACGCTACAGTCAACTGCGGTTTAATACAGTCAACTATACGGTAAAATAATTTCCAAAGACAATAAACAATGCTATATAATGGATAATTTTAATCTAGATTTATTTCGCTAAGAACACCCATTTACACAGTAATTTTTGGACTCATTGTTTTCATACGTGTTTAGGCCTCTCATTAATAAGCCTACGAGACTAACCTCTCACCCCGCCACATTAATTGACAACATATTCACGAACTGTTCTTCACAACATATCATAAATGGAATTATATTCTGAATGATATATCTGATCATTTGCCTGTCATTTGTTTTTTCCACTATTGAAACAATGCCAGGCAAAAATGTAAACAAATATTTTATACGTAACTACAATGAAATTAATTTAATCAAATTTCGAATTAGCTTATCTCGGGTGCATGGAGTAACCTTTTACCGGGAGAAGATCCAAACGAACTCTTTGATTCATTTGCAATAGAATATCACAAACAAGTGTAAGCATTTATTTGTACCCAACATAGAAGTGAATTACATTTATCCAATTTTTTTTGTAATATAGAATTAATATTAAAATGGGTGCTATCTGCCTGTGATAACCATAAGGGCTAGATATCAGGCAGATAATTTTACTAGACTAGTTAATTAAATACTTTGTCGGCCGGACGAAAACACACAACACAAAAACACAAAACACAAAAATGCAGATAACAGAAAAATACAAGTAATTGCATGTACGAGTAAGAAAATGTTTTTGCTTAATTTTATTAATTGATTAAAACGATGACTTAATTAATATGAGTCAATGAAGTGCAATTTAATCCTTTTTTTAATTGAGAAGCAGATAAATTTTTATCAACTTCATCAAGGGAATTCCATATTTTGGCTCCGGGATATCGAAAATTGCAAATTCCATAATTGGTCTTGTTTTTGGCAACGAATAAGATTTTTTCGATCCAATCTTGTGTTGTAGGTACGTATTTTGTCAACAGAAACAAAGAAGTTATCGAATACGGATGGTAGTGTATGATGCTGATATTTGTGCATAAAAAATAGTTATGTATAAAGTGATCAAGAGATCCGAGAACTTAACAACCTTAAGAGACTTGAAAATTGGACTAGAATGAGCATCAAATTTAGAAAAAGTCATTATACGTATTGATTTTTTCTGCAGAATATGTAGGGAGTTCAATGATGTAGGATAGGTTTTACCCCCAAGCAATTATACCATAAACTAGAGGGCACTCAGAGACTGCATACTTCCGCCCGTTACTCGGAAGTGAAACGCAACCTTGGAAATTCCTAAGAAAACCACTTTGCAATTCTTAAGCATAAAAGATTTCAGGCCCCCGCGAATTGAAATCGAATTGCTAATAGAACATATTACTGTTGTTGTACTGTACAGTACTTGTAAAATAAAACCTTATTAAGTGTCATTAAATAAATGCATAAATTTTGCTTTATGCACTCGCGCGTGCAGTAATTTTCACAGTTGTGCTATTTTAAACTCCCAGGCAGCTAAAATCTTTTGTCTTTAAAACAATGTCGATTTCTTGGGAAATTCCGAGGTTGCGTCCTTTTTATACACCCTGTATTGAAGTAATCTAATGTGTTAGAATTTGAATGGACTGGCACTTTGCTGAACGTAATAATGCGTAACTCCGTAAGCCTTGTTTTAGACATTAAATTTCGGTCGCGTGAAATGCAACTAAGACAATAGATAATGAAGGCCGAAGCTTAATGAGGTTTATCATCTCATTACTGTCTTAGCACTGAGTGCATAAATTATACACGTCCTAATTACGCATTCAGTAATATATTTTGTTAATTGACCGGGAAAAGCAAGACAAAATTTTGTTCATTTCTCGTTCAATTTTTAACCAAATTCAACCAAATTTTAATCAGTTCTTCCTTAGCCGATGGGAAATGCATTCAAAAAATTTCGTACGGATATGTTTGGTATTTCTTGAGTTATCGTGCTCACAGACAAACACACACACATACACACACACATACACACACACATACACACACACATACACACACACATACAAACCCAGATGATTACATAACCTCCTGGCGGAGGTAATAGACGCTTTTAGATAACAAGACGCGGACGTCAAGAGGACGTGAAAATGACGTATGCACCTCGCGTTCACTTCCGGGTTTTAATCTGGGACGGCTTGTTTGTCTTTTTCGAAGCAAATTTTTGTTTTCTTGTTACCTGTTCATTCCTGTATTGTTTTCAATCAGTTGTCAAGATATGTGCAAGAAAAGGCTATATAATACTGGGCAAGTGTTTCCTGATGAATTAGTATGGACATTCAATAAGTTTTTTTTAGAAAAAAGGTTATTTTTTGGTATTTTGAAAAGTGAACTTTGTTGCATCATTTGGAATAAATACAACAGCTGCAGGTATTGTTTACGAGCTAATTGTAGCCTATTCAATCAAGTTTGTCAACTGTTCAGTATAAATATAGCATCAGTGTTTATATTGGTAAAATTTAATACTGTTTGCAATAGTTTTTCACGCTGGAAAGCGTTTTTTTGCTTGTCCTTCTTTTTCGCACTGTTGTGACAGAGCAACTAAAATTGATTGAGTTTTTACTGCTTTTAATTGCTTTTATTCTTCTATCTTCCCAAGTTTTCCTGATTTTAAACAGTTGTTAATATAACTTCAGTTTAGTTTGTTCTAAAATATTTGTTTTGGTGAAGATTACTAGCGGTATTGAAGTGGTTATTAACAATGCTTGCAGTTTTGTTGACTTGTTTATGGCGACCGAAAGTATTTGTCGAAAATCAACTCGTCTAAAATTTAGCGAAATACAAGAAAAACAACCTTGTCAGTGGAAAAACTAAAGCTAGTATCATTAAACAATACATGGGGAACAAAATAGGATGATTTTTATTATGCATAGTCTCATATTTTTTTCAAAAGAAGCAAAAATCTGTGACGTTTTAGAGAGGACGTGAAAATTGTATTTTCGCGTCGTGAAATCGTCCAAGACGACGTCGCAAACTAGAAGCTGACGATAGTTGGCGCCAAATGACGACATCCACGTCTTCTTGACGTCCACGTCTTGTTATCTAAAACCGTCTAATAAGAAAAGAATATATTAGGTCATAATACAAATTTATCAAGGTGTTAATTATGAGGCTTGCAAAATGACGGATTTTAGAGACAATACGTACACTTCTTTTTATCTGTTTTCAAGTATAATCAATAAGACATTTCCAATTCAAATGAGAATCAATCAACTGAGATTCCAAAATACCAAGTTGAATAATTTCTTTTTAATTATTGACCATTGATTTCTAATTTAATATCGTATGTGATTTTTTCTATCCCAAGAAATTCTGAACAACCCGCGAGGTTCTTAGTCAAAGAGCGCGGTTATTGCAAGAACGAGTTCATCATGATCAACATCGGCCAGTTCGTTTTCAAGTGGCTTTCCAGGCTCCAAAATTATGGCGATGCCATGCAGGCTCAAACAAAGAATAGGAAGGGAACAATCACCATCGTCGTCCAATGGTCGGTTTGAAAAAGAAATGGGAAAATCAATTCTGCTTTGACTTTTAATAATTTGTGTTGTGTGATCTCGACTCTGTTCATTTTTTTCATTTATGTACTGGGCCGTTGGACGAGGGTAAAAAATGTTCAATTCCGTAGCATCCCTCGTGTAACTACATAATTTTACATGAATGGATAGATTAGAACTTACTTTGTTAGAATCCACTTCCCCCCAAGCGAAATAGTTGCACAAATTTCAGCCTTCCTCCCATTTTGAAATCCGTGAACCGCCATTATTGTGCTGCAAATACGCATGAGCTTGACCACAAAACACTTAATGCGCACGCGCAGATAGAAAAACTGGTCTCAATCGAGAACTGGACAAACCTGGACAAGAAAAAAATTATTAAATGTGCGAAAGCAGGACTGAAATAAAACAAAATGACATCGAAGAATTTTAAAAATATATGATATTTTTACGATCTGTTTATTTTAATGGTTTTGCCAAGCATTTTGAGTAATGTACAGTATCGAGTTCTCGTCAGGAACACTTCCAAGCCAACATTACAATGATAACTTATTAAAAATATTATATTATTTTGTACGACAGCATTTGCATGATGTTCGCCAGCAAATCTGTTTTCAGGCTTTAAATATTATCACAATCCTAAACAGTCTAGAACACGCATACCGTAATTTTTCTATTAATGTATTAG